ATCTTGTAGTTGCAGTGAACTACATCGATCTCTTTCTTCATCTAACCAATAATTCCAAAGCACCTACCATGTGACAGGCACTCTTCTGGGCCTGGATATATGACCATTAACAAAGTAGGCATTCTTGAAATCCTCGGGGAGCTTATTTTAAAGTGGAACAAACATATAAAGTCAGTTGGTGACTGGTGCCTACACTGTGTCCATAAATGCTGTTCATTCATTTAACAGCCAGTACTGAACATCTTCAGAGCACCAGAGACCAGAGGGGTTCAAAGATGAGATAGCCAAGGTCCTGTTTACCTTACTGAGTGCCATTTCTAGCATCTGTCTCCTCACCTGAAAATGCCTTTATCTCTGAGTCACAGAAATGCAAACGACCCATCTGAGGCAGGTAGATGACAGGAAGAACTGGAATTGATGCCTCAGAGTCCTGAGCCAGAAGGCCATCTTGCAGGAAGGAGTGTGTGTGACCCAAGGAAGGGTAGGAAGGATCCAACAGGGGCTATTCAGCTCAAGTGCAGAGGACATCCAGAGGAGCCACACAGGTCAAGGGCAATGTCAGGGATCAAGACCCTCCCTCACTTCCCTACTTTGTAATTTTATTGCCCCAACTGCCTCTCTATAGGGATACATCAAATCCTTATATGACAGAGGGCCAAGGAGGGAAGGATGTGGGGGAGAGGTGCAGATGGTGTGCTAGAGAAGCTCTGTTCTGTGCGGCTGGGTTTTGGGAGAGAAGACACCGAAAGGGTAGAGGGGATGGTAGTGTCTTAAGAGAGAAGAGCTGGGCAGCAAGCACCATGGGGAAATGAGAAGCCTGTTCATGCACTTAAACCCCTGACTGTGCACTTAAACTCCACTTAAACCACAGGGCCCAGTGCATGTGCACTCAATTGTATTCCAAGGAAGAACCCTGGAAAACACCACTGATTGGCACTTGCCATTCTATGGACACAGAGAATGGTGAAGAAGCTATAGGTCAGGTAAAGGCTTGCAACTTAGCCTTGCCACTAGCAGCTGAGTGACCTAACTTAACCAAAAGCTCATTTTCTCATCTGCAAAATAAGACCGATAATCATAAAGTCTCCTTTAATCAATCAGTATGAGAATTACACACGCACATGGGAAGCACTCAGGATATCATCAAAATAATTATTACATTATTATTACTATTATTATTAAGAAAGAATGACTTAAAAAAAAAAAAGACTAACGCTTTCCAGCTTCAATTCTGTGGCTTACCTGCTGCCAAGCATGAATCCCATTAAGCCTCCTGCCACCCGCCCACCCTATTCACAGAAAGTGAGGAGAGGTGAAGTCCTCCTCACTAAGGCAGCCTTCTGTCTCAGTTCTGTGACCCGCAAAGGAATGCACACCCCAGCCACTCGCACCGCGCATCCAGGAAGCGTGGACCAGACTCCCCTAACACGCTTCCATTCCCTTCTCCCTTGCCTCACCTCTCCCTCACACACAACTTCCAGCCCACAGACTTCCACGCAGAGAGCAGCTTCAGCACAGCCTTACCTCCTCCTTCCTCACCTGGGATTCTTCCAGCAAGGCACAACCTTCCAACACCACATTCCAGAAGTCCCCACCGGTGCACACCCACCTACCCACCCACCAATGCACACACTCAGCTAGGACTCCTCATTACTGACCAGGTTCAAAGTCTCAGGTTCGCTCAAACAGTCACTAAATGTGCTTCCTGCATTACCACCCAAATCCCTAATCCCAGGGATGCTTCCAGAACCCCCAACCCGGCTTGTTCTCAAGTCAATCTCTAGAGAAGCATGTAATGACCCTGTAGCCTACAAGATAAATTTAAATCTACTTAGCAAATTAAATTTAAATTTAAACCTCCATTTCCCACAGCCCTCTTCGTGCTGCTCATTCAAAACAAGGCCTCGTGCGTGAGCCTTCCCTATGACCGCATATGCCCAACACATCTGTGTCCTACCTGGGCTTCTTCCACGCGGGTGAATCCTACTTAGCCCTAAAGATTGTCTCCAGACACCACTCCCTCTGTGGTTGTTTCCCTGAAGTCGACCCTCCTCAGTGCCCAGTGCCGAGCAGCTAAAACAAACCCTTATGACAGCACGTGCATACGCGTGCGTGCACACACATACACACACATACACACACTTGTGCTCCTCACGGGCAGGCCAGCCAGTTCCAGAACTTGTGAACCTCATGCACTCACTGCTCTTCTTTCTGTGTAAAAATTAGCTGTGTGCTCCATCCCCTGCTTTTACCATGTCACCAGGCATCTTCTGTCTTGACCAAAAACCCATCCTCAGCCCAGCATCTTAAGCCATAGTTCTGAAATCAAATCCAATCGGACTCTTCCCTGTTCCCAACTAATTGGGGCCAGTTTCACAGTAAAATAAAGTCACATATTAACACCAAGAGTCAAAGTTCTGGGCTGTAATTTTGAGCACAACTCTAATTAGCCGTGTGACCTTGGGCAAAGGTTCGCATGCAGATGAGAGTGTCACCAGACACAATTCTCAGGGGATTTTTTTGATATTGAAATGGAATATCTGATGGGAAACTGTTTAATAACGTGCAGAGCCTTGCACATTCATAAAGGGTATAATGAACAAATTTTATCAAATCTAACCATCAACTGTTAAGATGTACCATTATCAACTTAGAATGAAAAACTGCTCAGCTATGACACATCTGTGATTATAAAAGAACCCAATTTCAGTCATATTAAAATGTGAAGTGTGTTTTAGAATTGATGAAATAAAATTTATTTGTCTCAGTAAAATACAGAAACCTGCTACAAATTTCTCATATTTGCCAATGGCCCATAAAAAGTACTCAGTAATATATGCCAAGAAAATGAATGAACACCCACTGAGAATTCTCTTAGGCCAAATTATTGCCTCTCGCTGGAACTGGGCAGCAGGAAGCTTCCCAATGCCAGTTCCTCCGCCTCTCAATCATGTCCCAGCGTGATCAAAACCCTCAAAAGAGGACTTCAAGTCACATCCAAACTCCCTTCATAATGAAGCCTCCTCGCCACCAACCTCTGCCTGGGACTGTCTACCTTCCCGGAACAGTGACTTCCCCCCCCAGAATATGTCACCACCAAGAGGGTCCTACTCAGTCCCATCCACGGTAACCAGCTCAGCAACTCAGTTTCTCCTCCCTCCAATCATCCCCCAAAGCCAACTCTAGGCCCACCCACTTTAGAAGGAGCAGGAGCCTGGGTGAATGCCTGACCCAAAGGGGTGCCCTCAACCATTTAGGACAGCTAACCCCAACTACTCATCTCCCATCTAGAACCTACATTCTAGACGATAAAAGCCTGGGTGTTTTGGATGGGGGACTGCCTTGGAAAGATTAAAGGCGAGAAACGCGCTCTTCCTTTTAACTGACCCCTTTTAACCTGGAAGGAAGGCAGGCTGGTTGTGGGGTGGAGAGAACCCTATTTTTGAGTTATGCCCCTCCCCCTACCATCCATCCACCTCCAGAACTAGCACCCACCTCCTCTAGGCCATTATGTTTGTCTTCCTACCTGTAAAAGTGAGGTAGGGTGAGGAATTGGGGGGAGGACCGTTAGCCGCCTTCCCTCCTTGTACTTAGAGACCTTCTTAAAATGCACAAGTGCTGGGAAAGGTAAGCCATCATTAAGTCACTAACACCTTGGTGAGAATGAGTTTCATCAGCAGGCAAGCAACTTTGAAAAGGACTGGAAACAAAGTTGAGGGAGTCCCGTACTAGGAAAGTAGCTCAGCGATGACCCTAAATGTTTGCATTTTGTAGTTCGGGGCAGGAAGGCGGTGGATCCCCGGGGAAGGGAAAGGGAAGCCAGAGGCCTTTCAGTTCCCGGAGCAGTCCAAGTCCCAAAGGCGTCGCTCTGTCCAGGGCTCAGGCACGATTCCGCTCCTCATCTCGTCCCAGGTACCCCCTCCACCCGACCCCAGTACCCCCGACGCGGTCCCATTTACAGTTTCATCTGCACTCTCCGCATTTTAGGTAGTATTCTCATTCTCTAGTCCCCCACGCCCCCACCCCCCCACCCCCCGCGCAAATGGCCTTCCCGTCGCCGGCTGCCTCCAGAAGACCCCCTCCCCTCTCCTTCCAAGCCCTGATCCGGCGCGGCCCCTCCAGAGGGGCCAAAGATCTGAAGACCGCGCCCACGCCTCTGCCCCCGGCACTCCGCGCCCTCCGCCTGGGGTGACTGCGCGCTCCCTGAGGGCAGGGCCTGCGCCCCAGCAGCCTCCCCGGCCGCGCACGCCCGGGACACAGGGGCGGGGGGCGGGGGGCGGGAGAGGCTGGGAGCCCGACAACCAGGGGCTGGGAACCGTCCGTGTCCAGCAGGCTCGGCCGCTGGGGAGCCCCTGCGGGGAGGCCCTCCTCCTCTCTGGGCCTCGACTGAGCCGCCTGTGAAATGGGGGCACTCGAGGGACCGTGCTCCTAGGCCCGTGCCACTGTGACAACTGAGATTCCGCGAAAGCTCGGGGCGGCTGGGCGTGGCCCCGCCCCCTGGGCGCCCGGAAAGGCCCGGGCAGGGGGCGCTCGGGGGAGGGCGCCAGCCCCGCCCAGCCCCGGGTCGCCGCTCCCCGCGAGCTCGGGGTCCCCCTCCCCTCCCCTCCCCTCCCCTCCCCCATGCGTGCGCCCCGTGATTGCGCGGCGGCCGGCGCTTCCGCCCCGCGGGCCCCGCGGCCCCGGCTCGGCGCCCCGCGCCCCGCGCTCCCGCGGCCCCGGAGGCGCTCGCGCCCGCGCAGGGCCGGGGGTTCCCGCGGCGCCCGGAGCGCAGGGTGGGGGAAGGAAGGAGGATCTGCAACAATACCTCGGGGAGGAGGCGGCCGGGACGGCGGCGGCGGCGGCGGCGGCGGCGGCGGCGGCGGCCGGAGGCGGAGGCACGGGCGGAGGAGGAGGCGCCGGGCACTCCCCCTCCCATTGTCCGCGCCCGCCCGCCCGCCCGCCCGCCGGCCCCGCGCCCCGCGCCCCGCGCCCCGCGCCCCGGCCGCGCAGCCCGCCCTTACCTTGCAGCGCCCGGCTCGCCCCTTCCCGCCGGCGCTACTTATCCCGGGAAAGCTCGCGCGGGGCCCGGGAGCGGACCCACAGACAAAAAGTGAAACTTCGGCAGGGCTGGAGCGGCTGCTGGTTGGTGCCTCTCCCCCTCCTCCCTCCCCGCCGTCCCCACCCCCTCCCCCGGGCTCCCGTGCGGTGCCCTGAGAGCTGGAGGCTGACGTCAGGGGCCTGAATTCCTGACTTTGCCTGCACGCATTTGCCCATGTAAGGTATTGGGAGCGCGAGTGGCCGCGGGGGAGGGGGCCGGCCGGGGGGCGGGCGGTGGGCGCGCGAGGGCAGCCGCCTCCGGGGGGGGGGGGATGCGGGCCGCCTGCGAGCGAGGGGGGACGGGGCGTGTGGGGGCTCTGCCTGCCCTGAGCCAGAGGAAGCGGGCGGCGGAGGAGGAAGGGCCGAGCGGAGGGGCTGCCGGGGAGGAGGGGCACCCGGGTGGCCGTGGGAGCGCGGCGTGGGGCGCGCAGCCTGGGCCGGGGACGTCCCGCCCCGGAGCCCCTCCTGCGATCCTGCCCGCCAGCCTCGCCCCGGATGCCTGGCGACACTCGGGACCTACCGGACGCGGAGCCGGCCGAGGTCGACCTCCCAGCCCGCCCACCTGACCGGGACGGAGCCGAAGCCCGGGAAGACGAATGACTCGCCCAGGGGCACACACCGCGCAGATCGCTCAGCCTCCGGCCTCGTTCCCGCCGCTGCCGCCGGGCCGGGCCGGGCCGGGCCGGGCCGGGCCCAGGCTCCCCTAGACCCACTGAGCTGTCGGGGGCGGGGGGGAAACAGGCCACCTGTCCTTAGGCCCATGCGGACCACCCAGTGAAGAGCCTTCTAGCTTCTCTTGGCCCCCCAGCCCGTTCCTGGAAGGGTCTGACTGACAGCCCTGAGTGGCGGGGACCTTCAGTTGCTTCGGGGCATCTTTCTCCGTCCTGCACTCACAGGAACCCCAGCAGTTTAACATTCACTTCCCAGCCTGGTCCGGAAGCCCAGAAAGCTTGCTGTGTACTGAACTGATAGCTTAAAAAAAAAAAAAAAAAAACTGTAAACTGGGTGAACTGGTTTGAATAGAGGCAAGCCTGTTCTTGGAAGGTTTGAGTCCGACTTTTTTTTTCCCTCCTCTGACATTTGTAAATATGAGCAACCATGAAAACCACCATTTACTTTGTCAAAAGGTTGTAATGTTCAGCAGCTAGTGCCTGGAAGGCACTCCAAGGCTGTAGACTTTGTTTCTTTCTATTTCTGGCCTCCTGGTACCTAAAATAATAATCCCTCACCTCAGCACATCATAAAAGTGCTTTTTCACGGGTTTATTAGGTTTTTGTGTTAGGTGAGATAAATTGTAGTCCTTCTTATCATCTCAGGATGAAAAACAGGTAAAGTGATCTGCACAAAGTCAAGGGCTAGGTAGCTCAGGAACTCACCTCACCCCACCCAGCCAAGTCACATGACTAGTGGGGGAGCTGTTTTCCACCCAAGGAGGAGGCCCTGACTCCCAGCAGGCCCGAAATCCCATCCCTGGACCTGGATGGAGTACCTACCTATTCATGAAACTTCCAGAACTTGCTTCTTCTTGCATTTGAGGGGATATTTTTCAACCCCGAATTTAAGAAGTGAACGTAGAGACATAGGTTATTGCACTTACCATTTCTTGAGCACCTTCTTGGTGCAAAGCCGTTGAATTCAGACATCCCTCAGTTCACGTTACTTAATCTCTCTCTCTTCCTCTTAATTTCCCATCTACACCTGCAAAAATCGAAAAAAGCAGAGATAAGGAAAGGGTATCTATGCCATGCAGTAATGAGGTTTTTTTTTTTCTTTGCAACTCATGTAGTTTGAAATAGGAAATATGAGCTCTTAAAAGAGTTTTTCCTAGGGTTTTCAAGAGATCAGATCCTATTACAACACAGTCCACTTAGTCTGTCTTCCACATTTCCGCAAACCCATATTCTCAATGCTGTTGTTTAATACGAAAAAACACTGGTATCACTCAAAGTAAGGATGGGTTCACTCAGTCCCTGTCCAATATAACGGGACTTGACCAGCATTTCTTTTTTCTTTTCCCTAGTAACCCACTTATAAAGAATAATAAGGTTCTAATGAGGATTAATAAGATTTAATAAGGTATAATTAGAGTCATTCATTTTCTCCATCATACACATTATAAGAGTGTTGTGTTGGATCCAGAAATGCTACTAATTATGTTGAAACTGTTGTATGGGTGCGTTGGGGAAGATCCCTATGTTTCTTCTTCTGAAATACCGAGGAAATTGCTCAGGTGGGCATGGTGTTAGCACACGCATTATATAAAGTTAATCAGGAAAGATCATTTCGACTCACGAGGCATTCACCAGGAGTATAAGAGGCAAAATCATAAATTGGATGCTTGGCCAAGGGCTTGTGGTGTAGTCATCAGTGCAAACCCAAATCAAAAGCCTTATTTGCATTTGCTGATCTGGTTTGTTTTGTATTCTCATTTTTCTCAATGTGCCCATTAAAACCTGCTGTGTTCCGGGGGCTTAAGAAAGAAGGAAACCTATTGTAAATTTGCAGACTCGATGCAGAGAAATACAGGATTACCAATTCAGAGACTAGCCCGGATTTCAGGTGGGGCAGAGGTCTTGTGACCCAAAGATCGCACACCGGTGGCTCGAAAGCTGTGAAAGCATTCTCCTTGTTGCAGTGATGGCACACCAAACTGAGGAAGGGCGGGCTGTGATCCCACCATTTCCTTCCATCCGCTACAGCCCCTTACCCAAAGGCCTCTGTGTAGCTCCTGGCACTCCATTCTCCGCGCTTAGGATAAGCAAGGGGAATTTTGAAGATCTTGCATATGCATTGTACTTAACCTCACAAGAACCTTTTTAAGGTCGGCATTATTATTTGTCTCTATTTTGCTCTTTTGCCACGAGGAAAGTAAAGCCCAGGGAGGTTAAGCAGCTTGCTCTTAACACAGAGCTAGTACAAGGGTAAGCTGAGACTCCCCCCTGAGCCCAGGCAGCCTGGCACCAGCTCACCCGCTGCCAGGTGACCATCTGGTCTTAGTTGGAGCACTCCAGTGTGCAGAACTCATAACCTCCCACAGCTGACCCAGAGGAATAGCTATGAAGAGGCAACTGGAGAAATATTAAGGACAAGGGAAGGTGGAAGCTAAACACCAACCTGATGTTGCTTCTAACCAGTTTAAACGCATCTGGCCAAAGTCCTTGGTGTGGTTAGCACAGCCTTTCAGCCTCAGCTCTGCCCGACCTGCCCATGCCACCATCCTACCACCAACTGAGGTCGTGTGGTTTTCCAAACACTTCTTACCTGTTCATGCCCATCCATGTTTTCATGACTTCTTTCTCAAGGCATGCCCTTCCTTCTCCATCCACCTGGCACTGCGTACCTAACCTCTCTGGACTCCCCCCAGATATCACCTCTTTACCTCTTTTCTTCCCCCTACCACCACCTCCAGTGGAAAGAATGTTCCTATCACTCTGCTTACCCTCAGTCCATATGGCTCTGGATTATGTCATGAGTCCTTCTCTGCTGCTGACTGAGGCTAATCTGTCTCTGAGTCCTTAACACAGTGCCTGCCTTGATCACTGTACACATCCAACTGGCTTTCCCCCCTCCCCCTCCTCCTCTTCCTCATCCTTCCTGGTCAAACGCAGAAGATGATGATGGAGGAGGTATAGGACCTCTGTGTTTAAAGAAAGTCAGACATCTAACTCAAGAGATGAGCCGTGATGTCAGCGGACCAGAGGAACTGAGAAAGTAACCGGAGCCTGACCATTTGGCAACAGAACCAGGATTGGCGGGAGAGGCACAGGAGAGGAAAGTCCTTTCCTTGCCCTAAAACTGCTGTGCAACCTCCTGGCAAATCACTTTCTCTCTGGTCTCAAAGTCTTTCTCCATACAGTAGGTTCTAGATTTGATATGCTCGTACACTGTCCCAGCTCTTCAGTTCAATGCTACTCTCAACCTCTTGACCAAATTCATCTTCTCAAATGGTAGCAGGCCCCGTTATACTCTGAAACTTATAAAGGTTCCATGATATCAACTGCATCTCCAACCCGAATGCTTTAGTTGTCCCTTCCTGGTCCTGTGATCAAGTCCTAATGGCCTTTTCCACAGACCACATCTCCAGCCCTCCACCATCACCACCACATACACACGAGCACACACACATGCACAGAGAGCTTCCTGCACTTCTTGCTTCCAGCTGTTGCTCATTTAGTTTCCTCCTCCGGAAATACTTTTCCTGGGCACATTTCCACAGATGCAGATGTTACCTGTCTTGCCAGCTCCTTCTCAAGCAGTCTTCTCCCTGTTGCTCATTGCCTGCAAACCTTCTCCATTTGGTATGAAAAATCATTGCTCTGTCTTCTAGAAAATGTACATATTTGATTGTCCCATTGAATTGCAAATTCTTTTAGGTGTGTTTGATCTCTTCCTCTCAAACATAAAACCCTTTGCAGTAGGCTTCCTGTGTTGTTCATCTCTCTTCCCCAGCAGCCGAGGCAGTAGTTAGGACTTGTGACCAAACGCTCTCCAGTGAGCAAATTAGTGAATCCTTCCTCTTGGCTAGAAAAGCAACGTAATTGAGGCTTTCTCTCTGGAAGATGACTCATGTTGTCTTAGACCATGACTCTGGACAGGGGCTGGGAGGGATGAGGGAGAAGGAAATGGTTAATTCTCATGTATTACAACGTGCCCTGGCATGCACAGATCTAGGCCTTCCCATATTTAGCATATAGAAATTATGTAAGGATAGGGTTTTACTATAGCAGTAGATACAGAATTAAAGCAATGGTTATTTTACCACTTCATATCACATAAATTCTTGAACACCCAAGTTTACCTTTTCCAGGAAAAACTAGGCACAAGTGATGGTTTTAATATTTGATGTACTTGCTCTATAATTGAACTTAATTCTCTTCCTAGGATAATACATTCTATCAATGCACAATGCAAACATGACCTCTGGCCAGGTCAGATTAGCATCAGCCTTTTTATTTTTAGCATCAGCCTTTTGTAAAGAGATGAAAACCTGATGTGGTAAACAGTAGTGGTAGGCTTTTCATAAATGCAGCCTTAAAGCTAATGAAGCCATTTACAAAAGGTTTATTTACTCTCTGTTCTTCACACTTCATTGTACAACAGGGAAAAAATGATCTCAAATATATCATCAGATTTCCTAAATGGGTATCTCTCCCTATTTTGAATATCAGGTCTTTTCTTGGGGGAGAATAGTGTCACAGAGTCTACTGGCTTAGAGGAATCCAGCAAATACGGACACACAGTGACTTGTATCTGCCCCTGGGTTTCTGCACAATTTTACCCGGTTTTCAAACCTAGCCTTCAGCCAGTGGCTGTAGGATAATCAACGTTTACATTTTGCCAGATCCAGGAGCACATTATCTGAATGTATTTGGCCAACCCGACTCAGCCCCTTGCACAAATCTGCTGGCTTTTAACCTCAGGTAAGCCCAGAATATACAAGAGTTGGGACCATGCCTGGAAGCCAGTGAGGTCAGAGGTCAGTCAATTCAGTCTGACTGGGAGCCAGTCTGTGGTGGCTGAAATGCTGACGGATGGCGCTTTAGTGCTCCGTGGGTCCATTATCAATGAGAAGTTTTAGAGACTCCAAAAGACAAAGGGAGATGGTTTACAAACCTTTTTATTCTAACAAGTGTGTACTCTGCACCTACTAATTGTATTAAGTCTAGGAATTCAGTGTTGAGAAAAACGGACACAGCACCTATCCTACGTGCCAGCACAAAGAAATATGTCATACCAATTCCAAGGGAAAGGGCCAATGAGGTAGCTTGGCTGAGACTTCTCAGTGGATGGTAGGGACCTGATATTTCAGCTGACAGCCTCCCAATGGAATAAGAAACAGTGGGCCTGGAGATACACCCCAGGGCTTGTTGGGGGAACACAAACATGGAGCACACATTTTTGTCTTCACCCCAACAGCAAGGAGGTAATGGGTATTGTCCAAAGGTTCAGTCTCTGCAGTCATGGCCTTCATGGCCTCACTGGTGCCTAGAATGCTGTGTGGGGTTATGTGACTGCTGAGGAAGGTGTGCTAGTTCTTTATCAT